CTGTCACAAAAGTTAAAGATGCAAACGATGAATTAAAACAACAGCTTGACATGCTTACAGCACAGACACTCTCTCTTTACCAAAAAATGGAAGAGGATAATACCAAGCTGATAAAGAAATACAAACAGGACCTCGAGATGCACGAGAAACAACTCAAACAACAAATTGAAGAATGCAAAGCAGCTCTCCAGCGTGGTTCACACATACAGATTTATGATACATATTGTGAGATCCATTCTCCTACACACATTCTCCCTGTAAAGCCTGTCCTGGGTACTGTCAACTTCACTCCAAATAAAAATCCTCAAGATCACTTGAAAAAAGCCTTGGGAAAAGTTACTACCTCAGGTCAAGGTCAAACTTTAACTGACCAGGATCGGTCAGTCTCAACATCTGATGATCGGGGACAACCCTCTACACAACAACAACAACAGTCAGGAGCAAAAGTGAAGAAAGCAGTGATAACATACAAACTACTGCCACAGACCAAGGTAGTGGAGGAGTGGAGGTCTCCATGTGGCGTTGGTTCTATATGTCCCACCACTGATGGTCAGGTGTGGACCAAGTACAGTAACACATTAACTCTCCTGGACAGGAAGGGTAAAGTAATACAGATGGTCATACACAATGTCGGGATCAGTGGCATCAGTCTGTCATCCACCACACACACACTGTGGGTCTGTGATGATAACAACATCATGGAGCTGGTATCAGGACGACTGACACACAGATTCAGTACCAAGAAGGAACCCAGGTGTATATGTGTTACAGCCAGTAACCATGTCATTGTAGGGATGATCAAACACATCTCCAAATTTACCACAAAAGGTAAAATGGTGTGTACTACAATGGCTATAGGGACTGGGAAACCATTAGTGTGTACACCAGTCAGGATCTCAGAGTGTCCTGTCACTCACAATGTGGCAGTCACTGATTTCAGTAGTGAAAGTGATGGTGGTGATGGAAACAAACATGTTGTTGTGATGGACACTGATTTCAAGGAGCTGTTTGTATATAGAGGTGACATCCCCAGTACATATAAACCAACACCACAAACAGGAAGTAAACCATTTTACCCCTGGGGTGTGGTGTATGACAGTGTGGGGAACCTGATCATAGGGGACCGGAACAACAAAAGGGTCCTACTCATCAGTGGAGATGGTGAGTTCCTCAGGGTCATACACACAGACACAGACTATACACTGGCAGTAGGTTTAGACAGGGAGGATGTCCTGTGGGTAGTGTTTGGGTATGCCAGCAAAGTCAAACTACTACAGTACAGCAGTATGTGACACCTGTAACTAAACAACTAGTATATCTAGTTACCATGACAATGACATGGAAATCAGAGACAAAGCAAACTTATCATGATTACAAATCAACTAACTATGTGTGACATTCACAGGATTATTAGTAAATTATCTAGACAACAGATTGTGAGACATTTACAAGATTATAAGTAAAATGTCTAGACTACAGATTGTGAGACATTTACAAGATTATAAGTAAAATGTCTAGACTACAGATTTTGAGACATTTACAGGATTATAAGTAAAATGTCTACACTACAGATTATGAGACATTTAAAGGTTTATAAGTAAAATGTCTAGACTACAGATTTTGAGACATTCACAGGATTATAAGTAAAATGTCTAAATTACAGATTGTGTGGCATTCACAGGATTATAAGTAAACTGTCTAGACTACAGATTGTGAGACATACACAGAATTATAAGTAAAATGTCTAGACTACAGATTGTGTGACATTCACAGGATTATAAATAAAATGTCTAGACTACAGATTGTGTGACATTTACAGGATTATTAGTAAAATGTCTAGACTACAGATTGTGTGACATTCACAGGATTATAAATAAAATATCTAGACTACAGATTGTGAGACATTCACAGGATTATAAGTAAAATGTCTAGACTACAGATTGTGTGGCATTTACAGGATTATTAGTAAAATGTCTAGACTACAGATTGTGAGACATTTACAGGATTATAAGTAAAATGTCTAGACTACAGATTGTGAGACATTTACAGGATTATAAGTAAAATGTCTACACTACAGATTGTGAGACATTTACAGGTTTATAAGTAAAATGTCTAGACTACAGATTGTGTGACATTCACAGGATTATAAGTAAAATGTCCAGACTACAGATTGTGTGACATTCACAGGATTATATTTACATTATTGATGTTTGTTCTGTACATGAATCTCCCAACTGAAAACAACTGCCATTTTACCTAGAGGCGTCACGATTTACCGCGATGCACTTGTACCGTGATCATTTATGTTCGATTCAATTCTCGATATATTTTTCCGGATTTTCGATGCGTCACGATCTGAATATTAGTGTATGCCGCTTCAGCTGAAATGTCTGTGAGACGTTCAATTTCATTGGCTGATCTATAAACCCTAAACCAATCGGCTTTGAGGATGCAATTTTCACAAAGCATTCATAACAAAATGGCAGACCGAAATGAAAATTTGTGATGCTCCGGCAAGCTTCAAATCAAAAGTGTGGCAACACTGCGGGTTTCCATGTGTCGCCAGCTTATGTATCTCATTTTTGTTTCTAGTTTAAAATAAAGGTGTATCGAATCAAATAATCAAATCGTGGAACAAATATCAAGATACTAATTGAATCGTGGGTTAAGTGTATCGTGACCGCTCTAATTATACCATGAATACACTATCACACACAATGACAACATCATATTACTATGCATAGTAATGTTTCTGAGTAATCTCCCCTTCTCCGAGATAACGTAGTTGCGAGAAATAATAATGAACATTACTGAAAACATAAATTATCCACCATTGTACCATTATTATTATTATTTTAATTGTGAAATTAAAAGAAATATTTATACCATTGCCATATTAAATATTGTCTTCGTATTCAGAATCGGTTCCTCATGGTCAGGAACGTTCTAACACCCAAACGTCCGGCTGGGTAATCCCCTTGGCATCAACTTGCACATTAAAACCCAAAGAACTTTGTAATGACACAGGCACTTCAACCGTTAACTTATCATCATTCACATCTGCAGGTCTTTTAGCAAACAGCATATTCAACAGCTGTACATTTAACTTCAAATGAGCTCTATGCCTACTGCCGACGGGTGTCCTGGATGGTTACTATGGTGACCAATGATTTGAAATAGTGCAGACATAAACTTTTTTAAGTATATAATATGCAGTGTTTAATGCAGAAAGAAACATCAAATAAGATCAATTTTTAACAAGAGGCCCAGAGGGCCTGTATCGCTCACCTGGTAATGTTAGTTAAATTGAAGTTGGAATAGCTAGATGTTGCTGGTAGTGTACATGGTTAGTCAGGGGTTATATTTATATGCAATTGGACAAAATCCTGTCATTCCTACAGGAAAAGAAGGATTTTGAAGAATTTGCTATGTTTCCCCTATTGGGCCCCGTCCCTCTGCCCCAAGGGGGGTCAGACCCACCTTTGATACAAAATCAGGTTGCCTTTACCCAATGATGCTTTAGACCAAATATGGACAAAATCCTGTTATTCCTACAGAAGAAGAATTTTCAAGAATTTGCTAATTACCTCTATTGGGCCCCACCTCTCAGGCCCCTGGGGGGTCAGACGCACCATTTACACAAAATTGATTTCCCTTCCGCAGAGGATGCTACTGTTCAAATTTGGTCAAATACTTTCATCCTAACGGAAAAAAAAGGGATTTTAAACCTATTCCTCTATATCCCTTATTTGGCCCTGCCTCTCTGCCCCCAGGGGGGTCGGACACATCGTTTATACAAAATTGGTTCCCCTTCAACCAAGGATACTTCATACCAAATTCGGACAAAATCCTGTTATTCCTACAGAAGGACAAGGATTTTGAAGAATTTGCTATGTTTCCCCTATAGGGCCCCGCCCCTCTGCCCCCAGGGGGGGGGGGGGGCCACACCAAGACCAAGATGCAAGGATGCTCCAGACTAATTTAGCATAAAATACTGTAATCTCTATGGTAGAATAAGGATTTTAAAGGTTTTACCTCTATTTCCCCTATTTGGCATTGCCCCACTGCCCCCAAGGGGGCTACAACCACCGTGTATACAGAATTGTGTTCCCTTGGCCCAAGGATGCTCCAGACTAAGTTAGAATAAAATCCCTTAATCCCTACAGTAGAAGAAGGATTTTAAGGTTTTACCTCTATTTCCATTGTTTGGCAACGCCCCTCTGCCCCCAGGGGGGCCACACCCACCGTTCATACAAAATTGAGTCTCCTTGGCCTAAGGATGCTCCAGACCAAATTTAATCAAAATCTACTTAGCCGTTCAGGACTAGTAGCATTTTAAAGGAAAAGTTGACGGACGAAGGACGGACGACGGAAGATGGATGACGGACGCTGCGGTATGGCTTCAGAATTTTATGTCTTGCCTGTCCCCGTTTTGAACGTCAACAGCAATTAGATTGAGAATCGGAGCAATACACACAAATTTTACTGATGTTCACTTATTTCCAAACTTTCAACTTAAAATCAAATTGAATTGGAATATAAATTCAGAAAATATTTATTTCAATGTCAAAATTTTGAATATAATGCATTGAAAATAATGGAGAGTTTAAATGATATTTTTATAATTAAGATATTTAGAAAATAAGTCTTAAATCATATCCAGCATCCAATGTTGGTACTGAGATATGCACTACAGATGCAAAACACACAGCTAAATGCCAAAACTTATAATTGATGAGGATGCTTAAACAGTTGTCAATTACTTGACCAGGAAAAGATGGCCACATTCAGTATCCCATGCATGGATTGCAATGAAGAAGCTACAATGAAAGAATGGTCCAAGTTTGGTTGGTGAAGCGTTTACAATTTAGTAGAAACAGAGCTAAATGCTAAACTTTAATGTTGGCGCCGCCACCATCGGAAAAGTGACACCTATGTTTTGCCTTCACGACAGCCGTCACAAGCGAGACAAAAATTAGATCCCAGCATGCAATACTTACAGATGCAGCTTGTGGAATACGTTTTGGAGCATCAGAAAGGCATCCCCAGGTCTGGAACGAAAAACAGTTAATTTATGTCCATCTTCTTCATTTGTATTTACAGTATGGCTTGGGGATTTCAACTGTTTCCATGTTAAAATAAAGGGATCAAGTCTCAAAGGGCTGGATGGATCCAAGAGCCAATCATTGTGGCATAAATCCATTCCTTCCTTCAAACCAAGAAATGGTTTATATGGTTATAGGGTGAGAATCTCAACTGTTTAAAAGTTATAATAAATGTTACTTTTGCTATTGCACCCCATCCATGGTGTAGAGAAAAGAACCCAAGGGCAAATTCTATACTAAGACTGTATTTGTCTCATAATGTTGACCTTAGTACATAGGATGGGGATCTCAACCCTTTCTCACAATGGGCACCCACCCCTTTGCCCCAAAGAGTCCTCTTGACCCAAGTATGTCACAAGTTACAATGGGATGGCATCAGAGGTTTTATGTATGTGACGTACCTCAATGTTTGTGACGTACCTAGACGTACCTAAATGTTTGTGACGTACCTAAATGTTTGTGACATACCTAAATGTTTGTGATGTACCTAAATGTTTGTGATGTACCTAAATGTTTGTGACGTACCTAAATGTTTGTGACGTACCTAAATGTGTGACGTACCTAAATGTTTGTGACATACCTAAATGTTTGCTGTGACCCAATCAGCTGGCTTAAGCCAAGTTCCTCCAGGGCGATCAGCTCCGACTTGAGTGGATTGATACGAGCTGGAAAAATCAACAGTTGTTTCAGTTACAAAAAAGGCTTAAGATACAGTCCATGCTACTAACAGCCGAAGGAAATAAATTAATAATTTGAACTCTCGCCAGAATTACTGACTAATATCCCTCACCTGCACCAAGAACTGACGGAAAAGATCTCTTGGTAATGTTTTTAAACAAAGGGGCATAACAACATAGATAAAGGGGGTGTCTCAAATCTATATACTTTATTCACATCCCCTCTGTGTAAGTTTATACATATCAAGTACAATACTTGTGAACACTGCTTTTAAACTAAGGGGCATAATTCCATTAGATGGCGACTTTGCAACGTTGATGCAGGGGGCATAATTAATGTTTCTAAACATTTTCTTCAGTTTGGTAAGTATGGATTATGAGAAGTTCTTTTTACACAACCAATACAATTTTCTATGTGATGTTTCGATGACTAGTACGATATGTACACTGTCACCTTCATCAGACAAATGACCAATGAAGCGTATGCACAAAGATGTAAAATATGTACAAGTTGTCCATAAAATCGATGTCGATTTCGGCTACGCTGGAAACGTATGTACAACAGTTGTTATATATGTACCTGAATATGTAGCTGAATTGAGTCATTTCGGTACATATATAACAACTATTGTACATACGTTTGTCTGATGAAGGTGACAGTGTACATATCGTACTAGTCATCGAAACGTCACATAGAAAATTGTATTGGTTGTGTAAAAAGAACTTCTCATAATCCATAATTAATGTTTCCTTGGTACAAATCACAACAGTCACTCTACATATTAGTATATTTGTAGGTAGAATAACTATTGGTGTCAAGCTGCTGTACTGGGTATGGAGATGTAACAGCAATTTTCATTGGCTTAGAATGACACACCTCTAGAAAAGGAGAGGTACAATGAATATGGTGGTTTTTGGGTACACGCTTCAATACATTTGTCTGCCAGAACAAATCAATCTACCTTAATTCCTAGTAGATTTCTTTATTGAACATACAACAGTAAGTATCCCATAATTTATTTTGTATTATTTTATCATTACATTTTGCTACAATAATGAATTGGAGTATGTGAGTTTCAGCTTTACATACATATAGGTGACATGTAACCACACCTATAGCCCATAGGTAATACACATATTAGCCTCTGTTAGTTATCCTCACTGGATATTCAGCCCTCTGGTCTCAGATATGTGGAAATGTGGCTTAAAAGTAACCCGTTAATTTCATGTTAAACTGCCAATTAAAAGTAACCCGTTAATTTAATGTTAAACTGCCCATTAAAAGTAACCCGTTAATTTCATGTTAAACTGCCCACTAAAAGTAACCCGTTAATTTCATGTTAAACTGCCCATTAAAAGTAACCTGTTAATTTCATGTTAAACTGCCCACTAAAAGTAACCCGTTAATTTCATGTTAAACTGCCCATTAAAAGAATCATCAATGCTTTATGAAAATATAAATATAAAACGATTGGCTGGCATACCTCTGAGTAGTTTACATTGAGGCCGGATATATCCGGAAATCCAGGAGCGACACGTTTCACTGGTAGTGACCTGTTCCAGTCCCTCCGACGACTGGTATTCCATCTTTGTACAGAGATGTACCTTCGACAACTGTAAAACCACAAAAACATGGATTTATATTTAACAGATAGAAATCTAGAGAGTAGCAGCTATGAGGAATTAATTTCAGGGCTTTAATATCCTTCTTACACACGTCCACTAAATTACATAACGTATCTTTAAATCCATTTGTGCATTGACCTTATTTTATAACTGAATAACGCTAACTACTACAGGCATGTCTGGACCCCTCAATCTACACATGACGGATATTGCTGAGGTCAGCCTCAGTTCAGATCTGTGCCTGTCATTTTCTTTTAGGTTCAACCATTTCAACTGGTAGAACCAAATACCTGAAAGGGGCCCTAGTCAATGCTTTCTGAGAGAAGGTAGGACTAGTGTTGTCCTATTGTACTGCCCTATCTTCCCCAATCTCCACCACTCAGTCGTAATTCTACCCTCGTAAATCACCGACACAACAAGTTTTAAGGCTTGTTAATATATCACTGTTTAGATAGAAATGTGTCAAAGTGGTAGAGGATAAGATACTCTCTGTAAGACTCAGGTGTTTCGAATGAGGGTCTACAATACATTTGCTGATCATGAGGCCTTCTTACTTTTTATGTAAATCATTAGTTTGTCGATAACAAGAGGCCAAGGGGCCTTAAAAGCTCACCTGGAACTATACTTTAGATTTAAATTTGCTGAATGTGGTAAATATGTTACAAGGACTAATCCCTCAGGGGCGTGGCCGGTTTAAGGGTATGTTTCTATGTTATGACCTAGGGAGAAAGTTTCCAAGGTCAGGGCTAGACCCCTGAGTCAATCTTGGTAGCATTTAGTGTATTTGTATATGAATGCCCAGCCAGCAGATTAAGGTTAAAGTGGGGCATCTCAACTATTTCCAAGTTATGACTTAAGTACCAATTACCTCAGTAACTGTCTGATCATCAATTGTTACCAAACTAACCTCTCAATGCATGACTTAAGGACCAATTACCTCAGTCTGTCTGATCATCAATTGTTACCAAGCTAACCTCTCAAGTTATGACTTAAGGACCAATTACCTCAGTCTGTCTGATCATCAATTGTTACCAAGCTAACCTCTCAATGCATGGTTCAACACCTTGCTGTTATAATGTACACTGACCTTCTGCACATCGTCCCGGATAGTACCGTGGTAACCACATCTGACCACTACCTGGAAACCACCAAGTGACCACAGGTGATAGGAGACATTGGACTGACCATCTGGCTGTTTCATTAATGTAGACGTGTTGGATACGTCTGACGGCCCAGGACACTGGCTACCTGCAAATATGAAATAATTACAAATCAAATTAATTATGTAACAAAGGACCTGTACATGTAGTGCTCACCTGGATATTTCAGCAATCATGGCACAATATTCTCATTAGAAGTATCATTACAAATAATTCCCAATTTCAGGCTCTGTATCTTTGGTCCCGTAGATGCTTTATAGACTGATACACTAAACAAATCTGTTCCACAAACACTAATGACATCAGGCCAGACAAACGCTTTGGAGATCTTGTGGTCTTATACTGCAACTCCAAGGCTTCCATCATATGTAATTTATGTAAGTCTATTTAAATGAGTAAAGTTGTAAATTTCAAGTCAAAATATTAATTAGAAAGGAAATTATTGAGAAAACAAATTACTTTTCAATTGAAAATGACCGAAAAGACCCCCTGACATAATCCTTCATTTTATATAAACAATCTTTAAGTGACGATTGAATTTCTGTCAGTTTTCATTCCGTTACATATGCTTGTCTAATTTATACATGTTTTCAAAAACAGAAATGGTATTATTATTTTGGTTTTTAAGCTCATTTTGAAAACAGCAAACTATATTTGTGATTTACCATACCCCTTTTGGTACCCCCAGAAACCCTCTTTCTGTCAAAGTTTTACCTTAGTTTTTCCGCATGTCATATAATAGGACATCTTTGAACAAAATAAGGAGGTGAAAATCCGAATATACCGGGGCCCAAAAGAAAGGGCCTTATAGACATCCTTCCTTTACATGTGACCTTTTGACATTGTGTGATCTAACCCTGACTTACCCGAGACCTTTTGACATTGTGTAATTTAACCCTGACTTACCTGAGACCTTTTGATCTGGTGCGTGTAACATATTTTGCATGCCTTGTAGAATTGAATCAAAGGTGCTGACTGGGGTACTCAATTTCTTCGAGCCTGACCTTGGACCAGAATCCTTTTTCTTTGTATTGGTTTGCTTTGCAACCATATCTTCTGTAACAGCAATATTATTACATTATAGTCAGAACTAATTAGAGGGCCAAATGACCAGTATCAATCTACCTTATTTTTTGGACCGCTGATAAAAAAAAGACATAATCTTTTCAGTTATTCTATTTTGTAAAACCTTTTTTCTCCTCATTTTGACGATGTCTGTAAATGTGATTGATACCTGACTTTGTCTATGTTTATGAGAGTTATCTCACTTTGTATTCACACCTTTTATTTGACTTTGTCTGAGATTTAGATAGTATTCTGACCTTGTCTAAGGTTTAGAGAGTATTCTGACATTGTCTGAGATTTAGAGAGTATTCTGACCTTGTTTAAGGTTTAGAGAGTATTCTTTCCTTGTCTGAAGTGTAGAGAGTATTCTGACCTTGTCTGAGGTTTAGAGAATATTCTGACCTTGTCAGTACTTATCTACACAGTTACCTGCCCTTGGTGTCAGAGTTGCCACCAGTCTTGGTTTTACCCTGCTGACATGTGTTTCTGCTGAAGCTGTCTTTTGAGTAGATTTGGCTGCCAATGCCTTGACCTCTGAACCTGTCTGTCCTACTTTTGATCTGTTGTCCATTCCAGTATCATCAATCTGTTTTAACTCTGTCTCTACAGGTTTGTCTGCTACACCGACTACAAAACAGAACCACAAGATAAATAGTGCACTTCTTCACATACTAAAATTGCTAGTAACTGTATGACATAGTTTTAATATCAGCATGATAAGAACATACAAGACCACAGTAGTCTGAACAGCCCATCAACACAAGTCCACCCAATTGTACACCCACAATAAGGTTATACAGAGTCACACAGCAGTCTGAACAGCCCATCAACACAAGTCCAGCCACAATAAGGTTATACAGAGTCACACAGTAGTCTGAACGGCCCATCAACACATTCACTCTTTCACCCCTGAAGACACATTTTAACTCTTTTACCCCTGAAGACACATTTGAACTCCTCCAATTCAAAGGTTGGAATAGCTAATTATGAAATATCAGGCGTCAATGAGTTAAGGCCATACCCTCTGCTTATACAACAGGGAGTCCCAAGTATGCGTTACCGTAGAAACACAGGAATCACTTCATACCTTCAACCCGAAGAGCTCCAGACTATGATACAATGCCTGGACTTATCAGGAGCCAAACAGACGCAGAGGTTGATTATGGGGGAAGACCAAGTATAGTTGTCCAGGATGATGATTGTAAACATGAACCAAAGATCTGGAGAGGTGATGGAAGACAACAGCATGAATGAAGAAGACATCACAATGGGAACGGAAGCCAAATCCTTTGACCAGAAGGAACATGAAAGGAATTTTATGATGGTGCTGCTACCTGTGATGGACAAACGACTGCAGTGGCTATTGGATGCCCATCAGAACCTCAGCTTTGCTTCAGATCTTTCACAGAACACAACAACCAGCATGTCCAGTGACATCAGTTTGGACATGCTACTGAACGATCGTAATGAAGATCCAGAAGATATCCTGATGGGGCTGGGATTTGGTGATACCGTTGAAATTGAAGACGCAATTCAGAGAATCCCGGAACGTTTCTTGAACGAACCTTCAGAACTAGATGGTATTGATATTTCCAGCCTCATCAGGGAAAATCCCAAGCTGAGTTCTCTATTCCAAAGTTACATACTAGACTCTCAGAAAAGCAGCGCCGACCTTTCTGTCCAATGTCCCAATACTAGCGGAGCTACAGATCCAATGTCTGAAGATACTTTCTTAGATTTTGCCATTTGTAACCTTTTATTTAGGTGTGTACCCAAACATTTTATTGATCCAAGTAGAATTTCAGAATTTTCAGTATTGTGTTCCAACCAACAAGAAACGGAAGATGATTTTACTGCTGAATGTTATGAAGATGATGACCTTGAACTTGATTCATTAATTAAGTTCACATGACCTTTACAATATCACAAGGTTATTCACCAAGGAGTTTGTCTTCATGCTCCAGCGTATCAACAACAGACTTATATAACAATGTACTATTGTCTCCGGATGAGACACTTGTATAGGTTGTGATAGTTGTTATCTATACCAGACCTAAGTTTCATGATTGGAGTTTTACAGTCTCCGTCTGGTCAGGTTTTTATCAGGGTTCTCACCTGTCTGGTTACCATGGAAATGTCTGTCTCTTCATGATCCTGTTTTTATACTCTTTAGTATTTGCACTTTCTTGTAGAGCTTCCATTTTTTTACTGTTTATTGATAGCATATTTCTTGTTTTTAATTTTGAGGTTTCATTATTAATGATTTTTTTACAATTCTAAAACTTCAATGAATATTTAACTCTTTCCCCTTGGCCCAAGGATGCTCCAGTCTGAATTTAGTCAAAATCCAACAAGCTGTTCTGGACTAGTAGAGTTTTAAAGGAAAAGATGAACCGACCACAGACAATTGGCCACTGTATAATTAACTCACATGACTCTTAGAGCTGAAAACGTTGTGTAACATGAGAAAGAGAAATGCAACAGCCAGACCGGGGTTCGAACCCAGGACCCTCAGAGCTCTGACAGACACTCTAACCAGGTGAGCTACCTGGTCGCCATAGAACAACCTAGTCCAGTTCCACTACAATTGTGTAAAAGATACAAATAGAAAAGATAAAGGTCTCAGCTGTTTCAACTTGTTCAGCAGATCTGTTTTGCTTTCTTTAAAATCCCCTTAGTGAGCGAAGGACAACAGGGGGACCACATTAGTCACCTTGTATGTTTAATTCCACCAGGTCAACTTGCTTAAGACATTATTTGACACATACTGTGAAATCACCAATTTTTGTGGGGTTTTCATTTTTCGTTGATTTCGTGGGTACCTCCTCCACAAATTCATAGGTCCACGAAGTAGTTACAAGTTTGACATAAAGCTATTATCCGTATGAGCGGGGACTGGTAATCCACCAATTCATGTACCCACTGAATGGTGGTTTTTTTCTCTTGAAACTACAAAATTTGGGCCCCACAAAAATATCTGTTTCCACAGTATTGGACATTGCAAACCTTTTTGTTTTGGAGGTCCATGGGAATGGTGTTTTTTCGTAAAACCATGAAGTTTGGGCCCCACAAAAAATATCTGTTTTCACAGTATTGGACATTGTAATACCTTTTTGTTTGGGAGGTCTGCCTCTCTTCCTCTTCACCGGGATGGGATTGCCTATATTGTCTTCTTCTACAAATAAACAGCATATGTACAGAAGGCACAAGGGAAAGTCACTGTAGTAAATAACTATGTATGTTTTTATCAAATGGATAATTTCTTATATTTCACTGGTAAAAAGTTTCTATGTGATTTCCAATGTAACAGTGCTATCAAATTGTCAAGATCCTATTTTTTATTGTCATGTCAATGTGATGAGTACCTTACAAATTTACAATTAAATACTGCATAATGATAAAACATGTCTGTTTTTAATGCACCTCATAACAACATGACAATGGGAAACACGTGATTTATTAGAGAACAAGGCAGAATCCTGAATCTCATAAGCACAGTGCTTGCCCAAAATTAAATTATAAACTTCAGGGTATGTAAGAAATCTGAAACATTCCTTTACTATTTGCCTGATATACCAACACTGGTAGCTAAGGTAACCTGGAGCACGCAATACTTTACTATACAGAACAAAAAAAGAAACGCACAAAGTTCCCCCCCCCCCCTGCAGTACACCTTAGCTGTAAGGAAATAATGGAATATTTGGTCAGGTATTACATCAAGAACGATCTCCCTTCACAACAATCCACCCTAAAATCAGCCAAGCGTGACAATGTCATTGTGTGACTTTGTGAGCTTCTTTAGTCCAAATAACGCGGCATGATCAAGCCGAGCCGGAGTTTTTCACACAAATAATCTCAACGGATACTCTAAGTTCAGCCACATTAATTGTCCACATTGGCATTTTGATTTCGCCATTGACTGAGATGCCACGCTTAACGCAAATTCAGAGGGGTAGAGCAATTGCGATGTTGATGGATGGTCATAGCCAAACTGCTGTCGCACGGCAGTTTGGTGTTGGCCCGTGTACAATTAACCGTCTATGTACACGTTTCCGTGCTACTTGGTTAGTTTCCGATCGTCCCAGGAGCGGTCGTCCACGTGAATAACGACCGCACGACAAGACAGGGCGATTCGATTGTCGCACTTGCGCAACAGATGCAAGACTGCTGAAGAGACTGCGTTGCAAACCTTAGGTACTCATGGCAGACCCATTAGTCCTCAAACTGCCAGGAACTGCTTGCGTGCCAAGAGAATCATTGCGCGCCGACCTTATGTTGGGCCACCTCTGACACCATGGAGGCGGCAAGTGCGTCTTGACTGGATGCGCAGACATGGCCCGAATAGGTTTGGGATGCGTCGATGGAGGCGTGTGATGTTCACCGACGAGTCTAGATTCTGTCTGTATCGCTCAGATGGAAGAAAAAGGGAATATATCGCAGACGTGGTGAGCGTTTCGTCGACGCATGCGTTGTTGAACGCGATAGATTCGGTGGGGCTGCCAACCACATGTCCTTCCACTTCTCAGACATCATAACCTAATTTTCCAGCAAGACAATGCTCGACCGCATGTTGCCAGAGTCTGTCGTGATTTTCTCACGGCAAACAAAGTTCAGCCTTTGGAATGGGCCCCGTATAGCCCAACATGTCTCCCATTGAGCATCTGTGGGATGAGCTGGACAGGCGTATTAGGAAACGTCAAAACCCCCCAACTAACCACGCCCAGTTGATCGCAGCATTAACACAAGAATGGAACTTCTTTCCCTTAAAGCGAATAAATGTTCTCATGAATTCAATGCATAGGAGAATCCGTGCAGGGATTCGTGCAAAAGGTGCCCACACCAGGTACTGAAGTGTAATTTTGTTTTTCATAGGCTATTGATTGCATAATGTAATTGTGCGTTTCTTTTTTTGTTCAGTATATTTGCCTAACTTACCAACACTAATAGCTATGTACTATTTGCCTAACTTACCAACGCTAATAGCTATGTACTATTTGCCTAACGTACCAATTTTGGTAGCTAAAGTCTATTTGCTTAACTTACCAACACTAATAGCTATGTACTATTTGCCTAACTTACCAACTTTGGTAGCTGAAGTCTATTTGATTAACTTACCAACACTAATAGCTATGTACTATTTGCCTAACTTACCAAGACTAATAGCTATATACTATTTGCCTAACTTATCAACACTAATAGCTTTGTACTATTTGCCTAACTTACCAACACTTATAGCTATGTACTATTTGCCTACCTTACCAACACTAATAGCTATGTACTATTTGCATAACTTACCAACTTTGGTAGCTGAAGTCTATTTGTTAACTTACCAACACTAATAGCTATGTACTATTTGCATAACTTACCAACACTAATAGCTATGAACTATTTGCATAACTTACCAACTTTGGTAGCGGAAGTCTATTTGCTTAACTTATCAACACTGGTAGCTAAGTTATATTTGCCTAGCTTACCAACACTAGTAGTCAGGGTCTATTTGCCTAACTTACCAACACTAGTAGTTAAGGTATATTTGCTTTACTTACCAACATTGGTAGCTAAGTTATATTTGCCTAACTCACCAACACTCATAGTTAGGGTCTATTTGCCTAACTTACCAACACTAATAGCTATGTACTATTTGCATAACTTACCAACTTTGGTAGCGGAAGTCTATTTGCTTAACTTATCAACACTAATAGCTATGGAATATTTGCCTAACTTATCAACACTGGTAGTTAAGGTATATTTGCCTAACTTACCAACACTGGTTAGTTAAGGTATATTTGCCTAACTTACCAACATTGGTAGCTAAGTTATATTTGCCTAGCTTACCAACACTAGTAGTCAGGGTCTATTTGCCTTACTTACCAACATTGGTAGCTAAGTTATATTTGCCTAGCTTACCAACACTAGTAGTCAGGGTCTATTTGCCTAACTCACCAACACTCGTAGTCAGGGTCTATTTGCCTAACTCACCAACAATAGTAGTCAGGGTCTATTTGCCTAACTTACCAACACTAGTAGTTAAGGTATATTTGCCTTACTTACCAACATTGGTAGCTAAGTTATATTTGCCTAACTCACCAACACTCGTAGTCAGGGTCTATTTGCCTAACTCACCAACACTCGTAGTCAGGATCTATTTGCCTAACTCACCAACAATAGTAGTCAGGGTCTATTTGCCTAACTTACCAACAATAGTAGTCAGGGTCTATTTGCCTTACTCACCAACAATAGTAGTCAGGGTCTATTTGCCTAACTTACCAGCACTGTAAGTTAAGGTCTATTTGCCTAACTTACCAACACTAGTAGCTTCCGTGTCTGCAGGATCTTGTCTGGGTCTGTAGAAATAGAACCAAAGTTAGTACAGGTAGTCAGTACATGATATATTCTCTCATTATAAAGCTATTCCATGTTAGAAAATTATCGATTTATTAGGGATTACAATTTCATCTTTAAGGTCAAATAATCTGGAGGTCAGTTTGTCTAAAAATATGCAATAAGCACGAAATAAATAGTATTTTTCTGGTAACATATGACAGACAAAAACTAGGATAGCTCTGTAAGGATTTATTTTTATATCTTTTTATTTATTTATTTACTTTTTTGACGGGGGGGGGGGGGGTTTTTT